AGATGCGCATTATTATGATTTATACTCATTGTACCCCAAACGGGAGATTATCGGAATAATCCCTCGATAATAACCGATGATACACTCGAGAGCGATTACTTATCTAGGATTAACGTCATTCTACGGTGAAATAGCCCGTAAGTGAAAAGCCTTAGTCACTAACTGTACACCAGACATTTATCTAGAAGGAGGAGGCGCCACGCTCGTCGATACTAGCTAAATCCCAAGTGTCGATTACTTTCTGCTCTCCTGCAGTAGCCGGCACGACAATACCCCAGTTGCGCATCCCTCATCCCCAACATTGTGCTTTCCTCGTCCCCCAACATTGCCAACAGTGTTTTCTTTTTTGATAAGCATACTCTAAATTTTTTCAAAATTATGAAATGTAGGTGATTAAAGACAAAGCCGACTGGTCTTGTTTCATTGAAAGAAGGCATATGGTAGGTTACAAGATCTCCTATGGCCTAGTTTTTCTTGATCAATTTTACAGTGTTTTAACATACCACAGATCCAAATTTCAAAAAGTCGTCGCGAAAAAACCTACGTTATGTATTCAAACGAGAATGAGCATGTTGGAAATAAATTATTGGAAGATCAGAGCAAATCAGTGCTGGACACCAATAACCCTGCTGATGCAAAAACCACACGTATTACTCGATCTATGAACCGACTTCTATATGCTGCAGAAGAGAGCTCTCCAAAACGGTTGGCAAAGGTTAGAACTATTGATTCAAACTCGTTGATAATAGAAGATGATCCCGACAACCCTTTTGTTGTGTTGTATCTGAAACACTTGATGAGAATGACCTCATATCTGGAACACCCGATGAGAATAATTCAGACAAATCCTATCACCTCAGTTCGTATGAATCACCTGACAGCACTTTTATTCAAACAAAAAGGGGGAAAATCAATTACACTTATGATTGGTTTATGGGACAAGGCGTTAAGAAATCTGTATTAAGTGAGGATGCAAAAAAGGTAATATTTAAACTTATATTTAGGTTTATTCAGAAAGGATTTTAATTTACCTTTTTTGGTACGTTCCGTTCACGTTCCAACCCCTGATTGGCGGCTTCAAAATCACATGATTGGATCGAATCGGCACGAAAAATTTGCAACATCCATTCGTTCTTATCTGTTCCCATCCCCCAACCACACATGCAATGGCAGTATAGACTGTTTAGAAAAATTTATTACACCTCTACAATAATAGTGTCTCAGCCCCCAAGAAGAGGGGGAGACCAAGGAAAACATTCCTGAAACTGGGAAAAGACGCGTTCTCTCACATAAACAACTGGCCCAACAGTATACAGATGCTGATACAAATTTGGCACGGAACAGAAATGAACAGGGCTAGTGGGTTATCGATAAACTTGACGTTTCAAGTTTATTGTTAGAATATCATGATATGTCTGTTCAAAAAGCTTCTGAGAATAATATAGAAGAGGTTGATAAAATACTGTAAGTTATAAACTTCTAAATCTTTTATATGCATTTGATTGTGATTTTTTTTTAATGTTCCATGACCATTGTAGTTCCTTGAATTATATATTTTTATTCAAACGGGCCAGGGTTCCAAATTGCTACTCAGTCTTTTACTTGCGAGGAATGTGAGCTTCTTTTACTTTGTCGTGTCCTTAAGGACAACTTTGACCTTGATGCTCAAAATGTCTCAAGTGGAGTATCTTCAATGATTGAACCCGAATCATTAAGCATTATTTTTGGGGCTATCAAAAACGAATTTGCTCCCTATTATTTGTCAGCTTATGATGCTCTACAGTGTCATAAAGTGGCAAAGGTATGACTTTTCTGATTTTGTGTGTCCTTTATTAAGCACAGCTAAGGTGGGTATGACTTTTCTGATATGATCTTAATATTGTGATTATTCAATAACGTATTTACCCTCTGCTTCTACAACAACTAGACAGAAGACTGCCTCTAGTGTTCCTCTGAAGTGCAGTAAGTGTGGGCAGGCTGGGCATGCTGTTGTGAACTGCCCTCGCTCAGACTTACATGAAGCTTTTGAACCCGTGATCAGGCCATTTCTCTGCAACTTTAATTTTAAATGTGAATGGTAATTTTCTGACATAATTTTGTTTTTTTTTTACCTTATATCATGATTATAATGATTA